GTTCCTGTACAAGAGTCCTCTGTTCTCATAAGCACAGGATATGGGCAACAGATGTGTCCCCAAAGAAGAATTCTAAAGGGCTGAGCCTTACTAATCGCTTTTAGATAATGTCTGTTAGGCCCAATTAGTGGCTGGTTTCCTGAGTTGGCCTCGTCGAAGATTCCAGGGTTGGTTCAGTCTACTGCCCTGCTTAGGGTGTAATCATGTGGGTGGCATTTGCTACTCTGAGAACCTAAGCTCCTCAGACCAATTAGCCCAGAGAAAGGAAGCTGCAAATGAGCCCTGGTGGCTGGTCAGAGAGCCCTCCCCAGCCCTGCTGCAGGCCTAACAAGCACGATTATTGGCTTGATCAGCACTAACGCGGTGGAGCTGTGTTAGCCTGCTCCCCACTCCGACAGGAGGGGTACACAAAACAGAGTCAAGAACGGGTAGTTCTAACTTATTCAACACTCTTAGGAAAAGGTCATTTCTTCCTTGTTCCTGGGAGTGCTTGAAGTGGAGTAATTAGAGATTAAGTTACTGGGAATTTGGGGCTGCAAAATATTCTCAGCAGATGAGACAAGCATTTCTACGACCCCAGCAGGCTGCACGGGGACTCTCCAAGTAGACATACAGCAGAGACAGGCTCTTGCTGGAAGCTGCCTCCCTCCCCTTTCCCCAAAGCCAAGAATGAGAAATGAGAGATTGCTCCAAAGTCTCTGGGGAAGTCAACTGTAAAGCAGGAAGATACCTGTGACTTCACTACTTTCTCCCCTAACGCCCCCCCTACCCCAAAACAGAGGGCTCGAACACACTGATGGTGCCATCTGTCTGTCTCGTGTAGAATGGAACTCTGAAGATCATTGACCGGAAAAAGAACATTTTCAAGCTGGCCCAAGGAGAATACATTGCTCCAGAGAAGATAGAAAATATCTACATCAGGAGTAGGCCGGTGCTGCAAGTGTTCGTACACGGGGAAAGCTTACGGGTAACACGTCGTTTTTAACATCAGCCCTTTCCAGGCACGGACCGTGCTGATTCCAATAGCCACAGGAAATCTGTTTAGGTGGGTTTAGGATGAGAAGATATGAGCTTCTAAACCTCAAATGAGGCAATATAAATGAAAATAACTTTTTTGCAACTATGATGGACTCTGTAATCAAGTCGGTAGAACTGTTAAACTGTTGCACTAAAGCGTAGCCATTCAGTAAAAGGAGACCCATGCAGATGTTTCCACTAGAGTCCAAGTCCTTGGGCACCTACTGTCTTATATCGATATGTACTGCACTGAAACGGAGCTCTCGGGGAGGAGGGGAGGGTTGGTAGGCCAGGCCAGGGATGCTTTCGGCTTAATGGGGAGCACCACTCCTTTTCGAACAACCAAACTGGAGTAGAACGGTTTCTGAGCAGAGTTCCCAGTGAGGAGGAAGTAGCCGGTGAGGGAAGAGTAGGGCACTAGCAGGGGATCTCAGGTCTTGGGAAGTATCTCTTCTGAAGATTCGGTCCTGCCTCCTTTACCCACCGGGGGACACCTTACGGGAGTTCTCACATGCCTTGCTTGTTTTCCGCAGTCATCCTTAGTAGCGGTGGTGGTTCCCGACACAGACTCGCTCCCCTCATTTGCGGCCAAACTTGGGGTTAAGGGCTCCTTTGAAGAACTGTGCCAAAACCAGGTAAGTCTCTCTCAGCAAAGCTGTATGCACCCCCGTGGGGCCCGTCGTGGGAGAGGGGAGACCCCACCAGCTCAGGCACCCATGAGTTCCCACAGCCTTCTGTCTGAAAGAACAGGCTCCCCCTCAGTGGGTGGCAGGTGGCTGAACCCCCAAATGGAATGACTGGCTTTATGAGACTGGAGGACAGGATGGTGAGTTTAAAAGCAACAAAGAACCCTGTCCTTTTTATAGTGATATGTTCTTCATGGGGAAAAAGACACTGGAAAATCAAAAGTTTTAAATTGTCATTCAGAGAAAAGTCCTTTAATAGGTAGATTTGCCTTTTCTTCTCATTGACTTGTTTTCTCTAGGTAATAATAGGTATAAAACGCAACTGTATGTACTTCTACATCCTGCTCATAAGCCCACGAGCTTCTGCAGGAATTTTAAGTCGATTCATCTTAGCCTGTCATTAGGGCTCTTTGACACACAGCCATGCTTCAAGCCCCGTTTTCTGTTCTCAGGCCATCAAGGAAGCCATTTTACAAGACATGCAGAAACTTGGGAAAGAGAGTGGCCTTAAGTCCTTCGAACAGGTATGTGTATTGCTGCTGTGATCCTGGTCTCTCAAGGCATGCTAGCAAGTTCTAAAGATTGCACTTATAATGGGGTTTAAAGGTACAGCTTCTGAGGAGTTGGTCTTAGAGTTTGTACCATGAACCTATGGACTGTAATTGGCAGTGGCCTTTATAGCTATTCGTCCAGTCCTGTTTTGCTGTTCATTATCCATTCCCCCTTCTCCCTCCTCATTTCTTTCCCAGACCTAAGTGTGTGAGAAGGGGCATGTGTTACTGTTCTCTTTCCCTTTACCCCTTTTTCAACCCCACTTTTGTAAGATGAAGTACTCTTTAAGGTTCTCGCCATAGCAATTAGAGGGTTCTGCAGAAGAGTCCAAATCACTAAGAAACGCGCATGTGCACACGGGTGTCTGTTCACCTTCTCTTCCAGGTCAAGAGCATCTATCTCCATTCAGAGCCATTTTCCATTGAAAATGGGCTCTTGACGCCAACATTGAAAGCAAAGCGGGCAGAGCTTTCCAAGCACTTCCAGACCCAAATCAACAGCCTGTACGAGGCCATCCAGGAGTAGATCAAGGTACTGCCGGCCAGGAGGGGCTCGGAGGTGGCCTGCCTTGTGGGAATGGGCGTCAAAACCCGAGCTTACATTCCCTTTTTTCTTTTCTCCTGTCTGTTGTTCTACCTACTAAATTATACACGTAATTTGGGGGCTTTCGAGAAATACTAAGTGAGAGACTTATAATGTGGAAGCTTAGTTATGAACTAAGTAAATCATTTGCTGACACGTAGGTTTTCAGGTTACTTTATCAACATACTTTTCTTCAAGGTCTATTTGTATAATCTTCGTCCCTCCCTCTAACTGGCCACTAGTTCAAGAGCCAAAATGACCCATTGTGACTCTCATTGTTTTCCAGTAAAACTTGTCAACAGTTGCAACACTAAAGCTTTCCGGAGTTTGAGTTGAGACTTTTAAGTTCTGAAAAGCTGTTTATAATTCCTGTTTGCCAACTACCCCATGAAACCTTGAAAAATTTAAACTGTCTCAGCCTATCACATCTATGAAACAGATTGCTTCGATGCACCAAAGTCTCTGCAGAAGGGAAGTTTGATTATACTGAAAACGTCCCAGCTTCTCTAGTTTCTCTGACCTGGGAGAATTGCACATTGGGCCTATGAGGTGTTGTCCAAAATGAATGTTCTTCAACTGTTGTTTACAGGGCTACTACTGGCGACTAAACCTGTTCCCTGGAGTCTGCTGTGGGGGCGGGAGTTGAGACACTGTCGAGTGCACTTTCCAGTAGATGCAACGCAGCACTGAGCAAGATCCCCCTGAGCTGGGAGCGAAGGCCTGTGGGAAAGCCGGGCCGGCACAACAGCCTCGTCTTCTGAGAAGGAACCGACTGACCTTTTCTCCCAGAAACTGGAGCGCCAGTTCCCGCTCCAGTTTACCCCCGACAACACGTGTTGCTTCCACTTGTAAATCTAAAGTCCTTAAAATAATAAACTATTGCAGATATGTACGTTGTGGCGTGTTTCCTCACGGACCGTGACAAGAGTCAGCCTTAGACAGGGACCACTTAACAATCATGTCGGCCAGTGGCTCTCGAACTTGGCTGCACGCTAGAATTACCTGCGAGGGTTAAAAAGATACAAACACCTGGGTTTTACCCCGGATTTTGATGGAAATGGTGTGGGATACGGCCTCAACAGTGAGATTTTTTAAAGGTCCCTAGGTGATTGCAGGATGCAACCAAGTTTGAAAACTACTGCAGGGACCTACTACTGATATGTTGAGATGTCCAGCCCTTCTTATCCCGCAACCGTGAGCAACGAAGCAAGTTACAACCAAGCATGAACTCCAGTAGAGCCCAATTAATGTTTTGCTCCTTTACCATCTTTGTCGCACTCTAAGTAACCTTGAGCAGTGTTCTGTTGTGGCCTCTAACCAGGAGTTAAGGAGAATGTTCCTGGATGGTCTTTCTAGACTCTCAGCCCAGGACATTTGAAATGTGTATTCTTCAGCCACTGAAACAAAAGGGAAGGCAGGAATTAACTAACAGGTCTCTCCACGGTCTCATGTACCTATTATCTCCTTGACCACCCCCCAACTTGTTCCAGCTGACCTGCACTGGCTGCCTCCCTGTTCCTCAGACACGCCAGGCATGTTCTGGCCCGTGGTTCTTGTTGTCCCTGCCTAAAATGCAGAAATTCCTGGAGGCATATGACCTGTCCTCTCATGTTTCAAATGTCACCTCCATCAGATCATCCCACCTGCCACCTTCACATACGTGACTCCATTTGACATGTATTCTACTTGTCTACCTCCCCAGCCCTCCCTGGAATGGGGCGGGGTTGTTTCATTACCTGATGAACGCCCAAACGCCCTTCCCTTAGCATTAACTGTCACAAGCCTGGCCAGCAGAGCCCACGTTCCCCGCCTTGGAAAGAATATGGAAATAGGTGACTTCTGTTACTCTACTCCCGTGTTTCGACATGCCTGACTTTAAGTATACAAGTCCACTAGCTAGATCCTACCGCTTGCATACGCTTCGGGTTTTGGTAAAGTCAAGTGTACATAAACAGTTCAAGACCACCAGGTCCAAAGTCTCCTAGAATGCTGTGATTTCCATATGCCGCGAATGGGGTTTATTTATGGAGGTCAATACATATGTCGTAAGACTCAGGATTAAAGATGTGAATTTTTGACGGGACAGTAGAGCAGTTTTTCCCTAAGGAACTAAGACAAATGTTTGCAGTCAGAAGAAAAAAAAAAAAAGGAAAAAAAAGATGCTTTAAGTAAAAACTATGATTTATAGAGAACATCCATTGGTCTTTGATTTGACAAAATCAGCATTATTAAAAGACAGGTAACAAAATCTGATCTTATATTGAATCTGACAAATTAAGGGCTACAGTATCTAGATTACATAAGAAATACCTACCGACGGGGAAGGTGGGTGGAAGCATCACATGCAGATGCTCCTGGAGGAGGGGTCTACGCCTGCAGGTGAGGCCCACAGTGGGCAGCGCATAAAAAGTCCTACAGCAAACGCAGCCGACTTACTTGGGTGAAGTGTTTCTCCCTTTGGGGGGAGAAAGAGGCGGTGAGGAGGGGCAGGAATTCAAAGGCATATGCAGAATGGCTTCTCCATTGCAAAATGGTCATAAAAATACTTAGATCATGGCACTAGGGCACCTTTGAGGAAAAGAACACCTTAACCAGAGTGGCCTCATTGCATAATTCTTTAGTGATGTGTACAATTTTCAAGTAACGGAGCGGACTGAAAGGAGAACTGTGTTTCAGGAGCGGCTATCTATTTTTCTTCTCGCCCTCTGAGGCTTGCTCCGCCTCGGCATCGCAGGGACACTTCTCCACGCAGTTTCTCGGGAACCACCCTCTCATCCTTGATACACCTGAGGGAGGAGATGAGACTGATGAGAAACCGTGAGACACACTCGTAAGTCCTGTACTTCCTATTTTAGTCAGACTGACTCCCGCCCGCCACCCGCTCTTTACCACCTTTTATAAGCACAGTTTGTGGCGGGGGGGTGGGGGGATAAGGCTTTTAACTGCTTGCTACTAACAATCTAGAAAATAGGCATTTCCCCAATTCCATTATTTGGAAAAGGGGCTAATGTGGTTTAGAACAGCCCGAAGTGGAGCCGAAGGGAGCTTCTCAGAACGGGTGCTCGCTTACCCGTGTGTGATCGTGAGGGTGTTTCCACCTACCGCCACGCCCCACCCATTCCAGGGAACTGTCTACCTGTAGCCTGCGAGCTTCCTTTACACACTTTTTCTAACAGGTAACAAACAACCTTTAGCAAGGTTGCCTAAGCTGTCATGTGGGGTTAATTTATGATCAACCGAGTGTTTCTAAGCAAGCACCCTAGATTAGTCTTCACTTGAAAAAGGAACAATTCTAGTGTGTGCATGTGGATTCACTGATGTTAACAAATACGCCGCTCTGGTGCAGGATGTGGGGAGAAAGGCTATGTATGTGGGGGCAGGGGGAGCTGAGCTACACGGGGATTCTCTGTATTTTCCACTCAATTTTGCCGTGAACCTAAAACTGCTATAAAAAATAAAGCCTATTAACAGCCCCCGCCCAAAACAATGGAAGATAACCTATTAGTTGTTATGGTAACTCAGCAGGAAAGTGCACTCAAGGGGAGCACGAGGCGCAGGGGCTGAGCACACAGGTGCCCGGCCAGACTGCTCAGGGGGGGCCCTGGCCCTACCTGTTCTTAGTGCCGCCTTGGGCAAGCGGCTGGGCCTCTGCTTCAGTCCCCTCCCCAGTAAGACGTGAATGCCAATACTGATACCTACTGCAGGGGGCTGATGGGGACTTCAGTGCGACATGGGAAATACTGGTACAAGCGCCTGGCACATAGCTAGGCATGAGCTCCAGTGTCCGCCGTCATTAGAGACCTGACAGATATAATGCTACGGAGAACTATACAAGGAGCTTCTTTTAGTTGCTTAATGATGTGCTCTTCTCTTTGGCTCCCCTAATGTGTGTGATATGAGACTGTTTACCAAAGCTATTCTTGAAAGGCTGGGAATTACTGCCAGCGTCTTACCCTTTAAACACCCCCTTCCATTTTTCGTACCTTCTATAAAGGAATCGTCAAGAATTTTGTCTCCATACAACCAGTACCTGAAATATGTAAAAGATTACAATTATTTCTGTTAGACCAGGTGCCGACTTTGTCACTGAGGGAGAAAGCCAGCACTCACTGCCCCTCACCGTAGCCCTCTGGTGGCCAGAACGAACTCCCCTCTGCGCAGCCGCACTCGAGGCTCTTCAGTGCAGGGGCTCGTGCAGAAGGTTCTGAGCCCTTTATTCAGAGGACAGCAGGCACCGCTGTAATCTTCTACCACTTTATACCGCACCTGTCATCGGCAATCAGAAGAACAACTTACGGGGTGGGCTGGGTGGGAGCAAAGGGTAGAAAACTACTGGAACAACAATTAAAATAAACAAACAAAAAGAAACCTCAATTTACTATGGCAGGAAGTCATATTACTGAACTTTGCAGATTAGCAAGTAATTGGCCAAAATTCAGAAATAGTTTTTCCTAATTGTTGGTTGTTGGAGGAGTATATATTATTGTATCTAGCAATCCTAATTAAGTGTAATAAATTAAGGTGATCTCTGTTGTGAAGCAGATTTTTATTATACACTTGTAAGTTAATAAACATGAATTTTTTGGAAAAAAAGAGAACAATTTAACATTTCTCCATTACCTGCATTTATGTTTGAATTCTTTTAAAAATATTTTATTTGTTTTTTAGAGAGGGGGAAGGGAGGGAGAAAGAGAGGGAGAGAAACATCAATGTGTGAGAGAAACACTCAGTTGCCTCTCACAAGGCCCCAACCGTGAACCTGGCCTGCAGCCCAGACATGAGCCCTGACTGGGAATAGAACCGATGGCCTTTCAGTTCAGAGGCTGGTGCTCAATGCACTGAGCCACACCAGCCAGGGCTAAGTTTGAATATTAATTGTTAAAGGTAGACCCAAAATAGCAGGTGCCAAGTCTTTCCCTCCCAGTTTGCTAGCTAAGCAATTCCCTTATAGGAGGCAACTGATGTTTCTAGTTCTCAAGGCTCTTCTTACCCTTCATCACAAGCACATAGCTAAGAAGTAAATTCCAGAGCAGTGCTGTCCAACAGAGCTTTCCAAAAGAATGGCGATGTTCTCTATTTGCAGTGTCCAGTGTGGCAGGCCCTTACCACATGTGGCTACTGAGCACTTCCAATGTGGCTAGTGAAACCAACGAACTGAATTTTTTACTTCATTTTAATTAATTTAAATAGCCACATGTGGCTAGTGGCCATCAGATTGTACAGTACAATTATAAAGACAGGCTTCATGCTAACAAGATATACAGAGCAAAATTGTCTTTCTGTTGGCAATATACATTGACTAAATTCCCTCCAACCCTGCAGTCCAAACTACTTAAATGAAAAAAGTGAGTGTTATCTGATGCCAACAAATGTTTTCTGGAATATTGTTTAATAAAAGCCAACTGTTGGCTTCTACCCAATGGCAATTTTAAAAACTATTTAGAATTGTAGAACCCGACAAAAGAAAAAAAAATAGTACCATTGCAAAAGAATTACTTACACTTCTCACTCTTTTATCTGCTTTTTGTTTCAGCTGTTCTATCTGGAAGATAAAAAAGAAGTCTCTTATCTCAATGTTTGTATCAGAGTGGCATGCACCACCAACTCCCCAACTCCCAATTGTCCAGGGTTTCAAACTGCTGACAATTTAAAAGCTACATGTGTTTTTTTTTTTTTTTCCTTTTTAGCATGAAAAGAAGACCGTATGACTAAGAATAGGGGCTGAAGTAGGGCTCTCTTCTCAGTGTTCCCTGGCTAATCTCCTCCTTTACGTGTACTGAGAGAGCGCTCCCCGTGGTTCTCCGCCCTCCTGGAGCCTCCAGGCCGGACCTACAGTGAAGATGACACAGAGTTCATGGGCTCGTTAGAGACATGGGAGGAAGCAAGCAAAACTCATCAACAAAGAGTCTCAGCTAAAAGTCATCACTGTGACTCACTTTTCTCTACTTATTCATAGATGCATTCCAGAAATAAAATATATAGTCTCGGCCCTAGAATCTTGTCAAGTAAAGTTAGAGATATAGGGTATGAGAATTAAATGAAAATATGAGACCTCCTGTGCTAGCACACAGGGCTACATGAAGAAGCGCCAGGTGCACAGGGGTCTACAGTGCAGATGCTGGACTAGGGAAGAGGCTGGACTGGAACTGGTGTTAATAGATTCTAACAGAGAGATCAGATGAGACAGGAAAAACAGTGGGGGCGAGGTCAGGGGCAGGAATGTGTAAGCTGTTCGCTGCGCAGTCTCGGCTGATTGGGAAAGATGATTCCTGGTTGGAAGTAGTTGGAAGGTAGTTTTAGGCCAGATTTTATAAAACTGAGTTAAAGAATCAGGACTTTATCACACAGGTATGGACAGTTGAGGAGAGATTTACATAAATGGAGAGACATGATATAGACAGTGCTTGGATTAGTAACCTTGAAAAAAGTTTTTATTATTTGACTATAAAGCGTCATCTGAGTTCAGGAAGAGTTAAGGGGAAGAAGGCGAGGCTCAGAGGAAAGGCGATGTGAACGAAAACACTCACTGTTAAGCTGTACTGGTGACAGCCTTCTCTGATCGGCCACTCCAGCCCGTCTCCTTCCGGGACCCCTGACCAGGTGAACACCTGTTTAACGTTCTTCCACCGACTTCCCATGTCATAAGGAAAAACAAAGACTTCATCTAGTTGGTAATACTGAATGCGATCTTTAGCCTGTGGGTAACAAATATGTAAGATGGCAGGTGCCTTAAATGGCTTGTAGTGATACAGTACCAAGAACATTTATTCCTCAAATTTGTACCATTCTCCGAAATACTTCCTCCTGTTGTGATGTCAGGGTACACAGAAGAGCTAAACAAAATCTCACAATGCTGGAAGAACCCGACATGCAACACCAGCCTCACACGAGAACATACAAAAAACGTGTGACAGGGCTTATTGGGGAATGAGCATTCAAAAGTGCAGATTGTAACTTTATTCCACATATAAAAATTTCTTGGTGCTCCTGTTGTTGAGCAGAGAAAAGAATCCAGGTGTAAAGAAGAGAAGCTGACAAACAGATTTAAGAGGTAGCAAGGGTTTATCCACACGGAAGGAACGATTTTGTGGGGGACACTAGAATGCAGTGATACCTGTGGCAACGGCCAGGAAATGTGTAATGGGGGAGTCATCATTTTATGAAAATTATTATTTTTTAAGCCAGCAGGCCACGTGCAGATCTCCCTGTTTTTTATACCATTACACATGCATATATACTTACTTATATTTGCATTTGTATGCACATTTTATGCATATACATAAATACTCTAGTTGTATAAATTATATTCTAAGCATTTAAATTGTTAGCTTTAACTTAAGGACATACTGGCTTAGAATCTTAAGTTCCACTGACACCTAGTGGTATAAAGATACATTATTTATTCCTATAATAAGTCAACAAACGCAGTGGAAATTTGTTGTATAAATTTTAGTGTCTGGTAATTTTGATAATTTTCTAAAACTTAATACAATCATTTATTTGAATATTTTACTCAGCAACAAAGAACCAGTTTTAAAATAATTCCTAGGCTTAGCATGGCACTTTACAAAGAGACTTGGTCACCAGCAAAATAATTGTTAATCTAATGTTAATAAAATTATGCTAACTATAAATGATACTTTGAAATATTTTATTATCAAGGCACAGTATTTTAAGGAAAAGCTTCTTGTAGTTACTTAAAAATTGATACTGATGTTAATTCAACTCGAAGAATTATCAACCCGTAAAATACACGAATTTACTGAATTGGGTAAAGCCATCCCCACCCAGAGAGAAAAGGGTAATTTCTTTTCCCTATTTATGAGTAAAAGCTTCGGAGTCTTCAAAATGGATGAGTCTCAGAGAACAGAGACTTAGGCTATTAGCAAAGAAAAAGCAGTAAGGATGAGAGCAGCTTACAGAAACGACCTAGGCACGGTCTCTGCCTAAGTGAAGCATTCTGTGAGGGTGCGGGGGGTGGTTCTATCTATGCCACACCGCTGTTAAAAGGTGACAGAGGTGTGTGATAGGAGCTCTGTGACGGGAAAAGCAACAAAAGTACTTAACCTTGTCCAGGGAGAGTCCAGGAAGGTTCCTTGGAAGGAATGAAACCTAAAGTCAGTCCCGAGGAACAAGAATACAGGCAAAGAAACTGGGGGAGGAGTGTTCTAGCCAGAGCGCATGTGTGGAAAGAAACAGAAGATGTACCAACAATGAGTTACTCATTGGAATTAGCTGGTTTAGAGAGTGAGATGGGGTGGGAAATGCCATTGAAGAAGCAGATAAGGGAAGAGGGGAAAGGTTTTATTACGTATAAGCGGAGGATCTTGTAATCAAACCTGTACATCAATGGTTCTCAGAGCAAGCTCTGCACACTCTTTTGAGTCTCCAAGACCTTTCCTGGGGTTCAACAATGTCAAACAACTTTTGTCACAACACTAAGATGCTATTTGCCATTTTCATTGTGTTGTCATTTGCACTGGTGGGTAACATTGCTGGCACCTTAAGCAGGAATCAGGACAGTGACACTGACCTCTATTAGTGGCTATTACAGTCTTCACCACGACATACTCTCAGTTCAGAACAAAGCAACCCTGCACCCCCGGAAAAACAGCTTTTTCAGAGAATGTCTTTCATGAACCAATAACAATTACTACTATTTTTATTAAATCTCAACATTCAAGTAGATATCCTTTTAATATTCTGTGTAATATTAAGCCAGGGATAAATCAAAATGTCTCCTATTTTGATCTTTTATGTGGCATACAAATGACTTAAGGAAGCTAACTGGTAGCCAAACTTTCACTTCCAGGCATTTATTAGTTAATCTGGTCTGTGAGTTAACCAGTCCTTTATGAATATTGAGGAAAACAAGTATTAAATTTACCTTTTCTTCAATCCACGATTCAATAGAAGTTTGGTTTCTGAGAATTATTTTCATCTGAAAATTAAATAACAGACAACGAAATTTTATAATGGAACTTTGGTTCATTTAGGATTATTCTTTACACTAACCCTATGAGAGAGTGCTAACTGCTCAGTCCCATAGATGGAGCTGCCAGGATGGCACAGGTTGAGTGACAGTGTGAGGTGCATCCGACTCTAAAGTCCTTGTTGGTAACCACTGCGCTGTGCAACACCTCTGCATAAAATAACCACATCAACCCACAAGCAAACCCAAATCTATTACTGTAATAAAAATTCATGTTTTAAGGATCATCTTCTGAGTAAGGTTTTCAGAGTACTAATAAAAAATTGATATAATCCATTCAATCAGTACGTAAGTGTATTTTGCTATTAAAATCACATCACTACTTTAATTAACTTTAAATATATGATTAATCTATTTATTACAAGTAACTGACTCATTTCAGTCAACCTAGATATTCTGCTTGCCTTAACAGTTGCAATGCATTCAGTCCAAATTCTGTTTGATTTCCTACATATAGCTAATCCATTTATGGAGATTTTTACACCAAAGAATTTTAGTTTATTTCTAATATGATCCTTAATTATAGGCATCAGGAAAAATAATCAAAGAATTTGATCCTAGACTAGTAGAAAGCATGAAGTATAATCAAAGCCAGATTATTTCATTTTTAAGATTTTATTTATTTACTTTTAGAGAGAGGGGAAGGGAGGGAGAAAGAGGGAGAGAAACATCAATGTACAAGAAATACATCAACTGATTGCCTCTTGCACACCGCAGCTGGCGACCCAGCCTGAAACTCAGGCATGTGCCCTGACTGGGAATTGAACCAGCGATCTTTGGGTTCACAGGCTGGTGCTCAGTCTGCTGAACCACACGAGCCAGGGCATAACCGGATTATTTCAAACTAAGAGTTGAAGATGGTTGGGCAGTGCATAATGGCTGTCCAGCCGGCATTTCTAATTCTACAGCAAGTCTGCACTTCCCTGAAGTCTGGCTGTGTCTTCACAGAGACAGCGTGGCATAGTCAGAGCAACCCTGGACAGAGTCCTCATCCTATTCCAAGGGCCGTGTGCAGCACCTGGCCCACGGTGGGCCTTCAATTAATGAATAAATTTATTAAGTAAGAGACGTAAGTAAAAAAAACTGTTTTGTAACCCCCATCTGGGTCATATCTTCCTTCTCTGTGTTCTCATAGCACTTTGTACAAAAACCTATGACAGACACACGACCATGATTAGTTAACTGGCTACTAATTCTGAGTCCCTAGGGGTAGGACCTACTTCATTTTCATTATTGAAGCCTGGAAATTAGCAGAGTAATTCATCACAGAGTAGGCACCAAATAACACCTGTATCATACGGTTATTACTGAGATAGAATGAGCTAACATATGTAAAGCGCCTAAAACAGTGTCTTGCACATAAGAACTGTCTGATAAATGTTGGCTATAGTATTATGATACTGATTAAATATATGCTATTATAAAATAACAACAGTAATTCTGTTTACTGAACATACGAATGAATTATCTTAGGTGGTAAGTCACTTAAAACTTTCGGTGACTCAATTATTCATCTGTAAGGAAGAGAAAATAACGCTCCTCTTCAACCTCTTTTGGGGCCGATGTGAAGATCAGCAGGCTATAAACGTGAGAAGAGCTTTCTCAGCTATAAAGGGCTACAGAACTCCAAGGTAACCTTTTAAAAATCCAAGCAGTTACCTAGAAATTCTGGCAAAGCCACTCTAAAATTATCTGACCAGTACCTAAGATTAAATTAGTTACCTAAATGAAGAAACAATAATACCCACTTCTCATTACAAGCCACCCCCATAACTTGACAGCTTTTAGCTAGAAGGAACTGGGGAACTTACCTGGATAAAAAACAACATCCCAACGGCGATGGTGGTTCCTAAAGCTAATCCCAAGGCAAACAAGGTGGCAGCAAACGCAGCTAATCCAAACGGAATAACTGGAGGAGGGTCTCTCCGGGCTGCACTCATATCAATCTTGACCGTGTTCCACCCAAAGGAGAGCTATAAGCAATAGCACACACTTGAGAAACTTGGTTGTCTTAAGTGGCTAGGCCCTACTGTGACAATTAAACCAACCTGACTGAAAAGATCAACAAACAGGAACTAGAAAATCTGGCCAAAGCAAACATAGCTGTTTCTAATTAACACCGTGGCTTGCACTCATGCTGATAACGCACTACAGCATTCTTATTTATTCTCCAGTGTTACTTTTTTGTTGTTGCTAACGTTTATTGAATCCTCAGAAGGTGTTAGGCATACCCCACAAACATTGATATGAATTTAAACATTAATCTAAGTTAACTAATTTAGACACTAAGTTGTAACTGTCTCCCTCTCCTCCTTGCTTCTCTATTTAACTAATCATTTTTTTATTGTTATTCTATTACAGTTGTCCCAGCTTTTTCCCTTTTGCCCTCCTCCGCTCACACCAATAGCCTGCTCCCACGGTCAGTTACCACACTGTAAAGCTTCTGCATGCTGAAGAGACCATCAGCAAAATGAAAAGGGAACCGACTGTATGGGAGAACATATTTGCCAATGATACACCAGACAAGGGTATGACCTCCAAAATATGCAAAGAACTCACACAACTCAACACCAGGAAGACAATCCAATCCAATTAAAAAGTGGGTAAAGGATCTGAATAAACACCTTTCCAAGGGGGACATGCAGATGGCCCACAGACATATGAAAAGATGCTGAACATCACTAGCCACGAGAGAGATGCAAATTAAAACCACAATGCTTTTCTGTATTTACAGTAATTTTCTAGAGCAACAAATACAGCCTAGGACTGAGTTGTTTCTTCCCTTATGTTCCACAACCAGTGGTTAAAAACTGGCAAAACACAGCCTGGCCAGATAACTCAGCTGGTTAGAGCATCACCCTGATACGTCAAGGTTGCAGGTTCCATCCCCGGTCAGGGCACATATGAGAAGCAACCAATGAATGCATAAGTGGAACAACAAAGTGGTGTTTCTCTCTCTCTCTCTCACTCTCAAATCAATAGAAAATATTTTTTAAGTCCTTATATGAGAAAAAAAAACAAAAAACTGGCAAAAGGCATGCCAAATGTAGCCTGCAGATGTTTATTGCCTGGCCTGCAAAATGTTTTAAAATATTGAGTTAGGTGCCAACATTTAAAATTCAGGAGATTTCACATTTTTAAAAAATCAGGATTTTTTAATCGAAAACCTGGAAGATCTAGCATCACTGGTCTGGATTCCCAAACATGAAAAAACTGGCCGAGGTCAAATATGGGCTATCCTCTGTAAGTTGAAGAGCACATGCTCTCCAGAGTGCCACAGTCCTATGAGGACTGTGCCCCTCGTTCACCCTGAACCTTGCCTCACGACTACCTGCCCATAAGGACTCAATGTGCTGCAGGGGGCTTTAGGACCGTGCCTGCTCCAGGAGCCACCTTCCAGGGCACTGGGATTAGAATTCAAGAAAAGAAGTGCAAGTCGTGCCCTGAACTGGATGGAAGAGGAAAGTCCTCATGTTGCCTTTTTCTTGTTGCTCTTCTTTTTTTCCCCTCTAATTATTCTTACCATAGCTACCAAGTTTGAAATTTGATAAATTATCAATTTATTAATTATTAATAAAATAATAAATAATTATCCATTCAACTGAAGCTAGCAAGGTGAGTATCCGGAGCAAAATAATCTTTCTTCATTTAAAAAAATAAGTTTTAATGCTTTTAAAAAAGAAACCCATGTAGAGGGAAAGCGAAGTTCTATTTCCCCAACTTTAAGTCACAGAAAGCATCTCTCCAAAAGGGACTGTTGGGAACCGCCCTGACTGGTATCAGAAGCTGAAACCCCCGCCTAGCTAAGGCTAAGGGAACGCCCTTGGAACCGTAAGCCAGCAAGGAGACAAAAGCTTATCTTCCTGGCAGGAATGCTGCTTCTGCTGCTTTATTCATAACTGAACCCCAAAAAGCTTGGTCAGTTAGCCAAAGACGGGTAAGATTCCCCACGGGGGGAACGACCTAAGACAGGCACGATCACTTTGGGAGGCCCCCAAAAGAGGACTTGGGGGGCTGCAGCAAAAGGGGGTGATGGACCCTCACTCCTTGGCTTTGACATAGCCTGAGTTCTCAGCGTCTGGGGAAAAAACCTCCTTGTCTCCCAGTTGCCTTAGTTCCCTTGTTCCACCTAAGCCTGAAACAATGACAGGGTGGTGCAGCTCTGTACTGAGAAGTGCGGATTCCCGGGGTGATCAGGCCTAAGAAAGAACATGTAAATTACTGTGAAACCTTCTTTGTTTAGAATGCTCTCAGTTGAATGAGAAGGGTCTTAGGAGGAAGTTATTTTGTTCCTCAGTCTTACAGCTCTTTGACCCCCCAACTCAATAGACCGGCAGAGTTCTTTGTTTTCTATAGTTCCTTACTTCCCCTAATGAGTACTGTACTTTACCTGAATTATTATGCAGAATGAGCCCAATAAAAGCAGGTATGGACGGTAAATCGGCGCGCTCCCCACTAGGGCGGGTGGCCATTTCGTCCCTACTTCCCCACAGAAACTAGTCTGTCTCTGTGCATGTGTTGTTTTTTGTCGCGTGTTTATTGTCGAGCCATCCACAGCGTTCCGTGGTCACTGCTGGCCGGTGACCCACGCGCAACAAGGGACTTCGTAAATAACCCTGACAACTACCACTGAATCTGGCGTGAATGGTTTTATAACATTTTCACCTACCCGGTTATAAAGCTGTGTGTACATGGTCATAACAAAAATGAAGGCAGCATGGATGCAGCCCAAGGGCGCTAGAAGCAGGAACAGCGTGAACGAAGCGTGGTTTTGGTAACCGCAGCAGTTGTTGATCCACGGACAGTGATGGTCCATCTTCATCACACACCTGGCGAGAAGTATTTACATACACCATGAGGTAGGAAATCCTGTCTGCTTTAAATAACTTTGGTCTTCAGAAGACCAAGCAAATAGGAATCCAGCATGTTCATGAGTCATAGAGGAATTTTATTACATGGAACAGAAAGAAAAATCTTTTGAGTTTTTAAACAACTCTGAACAGTGACATCTTGTAAATTCTAAATAGGACAAAAAAGGGTGGGCTTTGTAACAGCTTCTGAGGAAAAGATGCCCACCCCTTGTGAGTTTTTTTTAAGTCAGGAGGCCCACTGAGAGGCTCATTATAAGGAAATGAGCCTGGTTCCTTCCTCGTTTTCCTCTGGCTCTGAAATGCAGTGACTGAAGTGGAGAACAATAGAGACTCAACAAAATCACTTATAAATCTCCGCCGGAGTTGATGGGACCTCAGAGACGCTTGCAACTTCCTTCTTTCCTGTCCTCATCCGTTAGATGTGGAAGCTCTGAGCTAGGCAGTGGATACAGCTGTTCATTTCTAAAGGTTCTAGCTTATTTCACATTTTTTACAGTGATTCAATTTTCTTCCCATTATTTTTTTTTATGCTAAACACCGCAATACTAGGCACCAGGCTTCATTTATTAGATTAGTATAAAGTGTAAATGTGTTAGTGAACTACATAATGGAAAAAGCAGCTCTCCTCTGTAACCAGACTCAGAATGGCCCTAAAGCTCGTCAAGATGACAGTCAACCAGCACCGCTAATCGTGACCCATGGAAACAACTTGAAGGCACAACCTTCTACTATGCTCTTGGCAGGGCAAGAAGCAAAGTCATTCTGTATTTTTCTAAAAAAATCTTTTCATATGTAACAAAAGAGATGTGTTTATTGTCAGAACTGATACTTTAAGAATAAAATGGAGATTATGGACACAAGTATTCTGGCCACATTTTTTTTACAAAGGAGCCACCTACTTTATAAAAGTAGGATCATTGTGGCAGAAAGAACAGAAGACCACTCATCAAGTTGATCAGCCCCCAATGAATGGCAAAGACGCACCTGTTACACTTTCGGCAGTGATGTGACCGCGGTGCCTTGTATGCCTGGCAGACTTGACAATACTGGAGGTACATGCAATCCTGAGAATTTTCCTTGGCAACAAAATATAAACAAAAAATACATCAGATAACCAATCCTAAGTAATAACAAACCTGATGAATAAATGCTTTTTATGATTTAATCTTCTTTTATGGGAGATGGGGGAGGGATGGAATCTTGCACTTCCAGTCCTTTTACTTGAGATAAAATAATTTTAAGTAAAAAAATTGTGGTAACAGCAGCACTCTCCCAATTACCCAGAATTCATTCTTAATTTCTCTTCCCTATGCTCCATCGTAATCCATTGTCACTGAGTACAGTTGGCTTTACTTATCCAAAATCTTCGTAGAGTGGAAGTTCAGAAAAAGGCTGGCTGACAACTTGGCTGGTATTTAGAGTAGGGGCTCAAACATCAGGGTGGATACTCTTAATAACAGTGCTATAACATGACTTTGATTCTGTCAGAGCTCTGCCTGGAAACCTCGAACTCCCTAGAGTCTAACAAATTCTCATTTATTTGAGGCTTCCATATCTGCATTAGTTTCCACCTTATCTGCACTATATAATCTGTCCACTCCACACTCCCACCGTTCTCTCAACCTGAAAAGCCTCTTCCCATCTCCCTTGGAAACTCCCACTCCTCCGGCAGGTCCCTAGCTGAAAATGATCAGTTCCTTCTAACTTCACCAGCACTCACCACATTCTACTCCCTAGTTACCTGCAGAAGTGCCTCTGTTTCTCTCCTCAGTTACTAGGCTTTTCATAATATGAGCTGGGTCTTACCCATTTCTTTACTCACTCCAAATAGTACACTAGTAATTCTCCAATACTAAAAAAATCTAAGAATCATTCTGGGGGGTTTATTAAATGTAGATTCTGACTCAGTAGGTCTCAAGTGGAGCTCAAGATTCTGCATTTCTTTTTAAAAATTTTTAATTTTAATTGTTGTTCAAGTACAGTTTTCTGTCTTTTACTCCCATTCCAGCCCATCCCCCCAATGCTCCCCACCTTCCTCCCATTTTCACACCCACTAATTTTTGTCCATGTGTCCTTTATACTTGTTCCTGTAAACCCTTCCCATTCTCCCCTGAAATTCCCTTCCCTCTCCCCTCGGGTCATTGTCAGCCTGTTCTCTATTTCAGTGTCTTTGGTTATATTTTGCTTGTTTGGTTGTTTTGTTGTTTAGGTTCCTGTTAAAGGTGATATCATATGGCATTTGCTTTTCACCACCTGGCTTATTTCACTCAGCATAATGCTCTCCAGTTCCATCCATGCTGTCGCAAAGGGTAGGAGCTCCTTTCTTTCTGGCATAAAATTCCATTGTGTAAATGTACCATAGCTTTTTGATCCATTCATTTACTGATGGGCATCTAGGTTGTTTCCAACACTTGGCTATTGTAAATTGTGCTGCTATGAACACTGGGGTACATAGGTTCTTTTGGATTGGTGTTTCAGGGTTCTTAGGATATAATCCTAAAAGTGGAGTTGCTGGGTCAAAAGGCAGATCCATATTTAGTTTTCTTAGAAAATTCCATACCGTTTTCCATAGTGGTTGTACCAGTCTGCAATCCCACCAACAGTGCACTAGGGTCCCCTTTTCTCTACAGCTTCTCTAATACTGTTATTTGTTGCTTTGTTTATGATGGCCATTCTGACTGGTATAAAGTGGCATCTCATTGTGGTTTTAATTTGCACCTCTCAGATAGGTAGCGATATTGAGCATCTTTTCACGTGTCTCTGGATCCTCTGTATGTCCTCCTTGGAGAAGTGTCTGTTGAAGTCCTTTGCCCATTTTTTAATTGGGTTGCTTGTCTTCTTAGAGTGGAGTCATGTAAGTTCTTTGTATATTTTGGAGATTAAACCCTTGTCTGAGGTATCATTGGCAAATATGTTTTCCCATACAGTTGGTTCCCTTTTTAATACTGTTTTCTTTAGTCATGCAGAAGCTTTTAATTTTGATGAGGTCCCATTTGTTTATTCTTTCCTTTATGTCCTTTGCTCTAGGGGACATGTCAGTAAAAATAGTGCTACGTGGAATATCTGAGATTTTCCTGCCTATGTTCGCCTCTAGGACTTTAATGGTATCATGGCTTATATTTAAATCTTTTACCTGTAGGGGACCGGTTTGTTTAGTCTGGCAAATGTGACTCAGCTCTGTATGGAAAACCTACATAAGCGAAGTGGTGGGCAGGAGCCAGACCTTCAAACCAAGTTTTCCCGTGGGAATCAGGCGTAAACATGCATACTGACTGTTATGGCTTGCTCTTGCTAAAACTCCATCACCCTGGTCTAAAACAACAAATATGTATTGTCTATCTTCAAGGTAATTTTCAAAGCCTGTGTGAATTTTCCCAAGGATAGAGCTAATCACCTCGCCACCATTCCCTTCTGCATGTTATTTTCATTTCTTTGATTGTACCTAAAATGTAGACAACAATATTCTATGTAATAGATAATCAATCTTTCTCTGATGTAAGACCCGAGAAAAACAAAAGCCTGTCTAGGCAAGGGTCGGGGCACTCATCTCTGGAGGGAGTGGTCGAGGCATTCATAGGCACTCTCCCCTTGAGAGACTAGCCGTGCCATCCCCTTTTTCTCCACAGGATTGCTGTCTCCTGTGCATTTATTTTCTCTTTCAGTCACAACAGGCTGACTCTGCTGGCCGGAGTCTGTCACATTTATCCACCTTGAATTTATTTTTGTGTATGGTGTAAGTTGGTGCTCGAGTTTCATTTTTTTACACGTCGCTGTCCAGTTTTCCCAACACCATTTGTTGAAGAGGCTATTTTTACTCCATTTTATGTTGCTGCCTCCTTTGTCAAATATTAATTGACCATAGAAACTTGGGTTTAATCTGGGCTCTCTGTTTTGTTCCACTGGTCCGTGTGCCAGTACCAGGCTGTTCTGATTACAGTGGCCTTGTAATAGAGTTTGGTATCAGGTATTGTGATCCCTGCTCCTTTGCTCTTCTTTCTCAAAATTGCAGCAACTATCTGGGGTCATTTATGGTTCCATATAAGTTTTTGAAGTGTTTGTTCTATGTCTGTGAAATATGCCATTGGTACTTTAATAGGTATTGCATTAAATGTGTAAATTGCTTTGGGTAGTATGGACATGTTGATGATGTTAATTCTTCTGATTCAGGAACAGGGTGTATGTTTCCATTTCTTTGTGTCTTCCTTGATTTCTTTCTTCAGTGTTGTGTAGTTTTCTGCATACAGGTCTTTTACCCCCTTGGTTAGGTTTATTCCTGGGTATTTTATTTTTCTTTCTGCTATATTGAATGGGATTTTTTTCTGCTTCTGCTGTTTCACTGTTGGTGTACAAAAATGCCTTTGATATTTGGATATTGACTTTGTATCCCGCTGTTTTGCCAAATTCATTTATTAGGTTGAGCAGTTTTTTGGTGGAGTCTATAGGATTTTCTATGTATACTATTATGTCATCTGCAAACAATGACAGTTTTGTTTCCTCCTTTCCGATTTGGATGCCTTTTATTTCCTTTTCTTGTCTGGTCACTGTGGCTAAAACTTCCAATACTATATTGAATAGAAGTAGTGAAAGTGGACAACCTTGTCTTGCTCCTGATCTTAGTGGAAAATATTTCAGTTTTTGCCCATTGAGTATGATATTGGCTGTAGGTCTCTCATATATGCCCTTTATTATGTTGAGGAATGCTCCCTCTAATCCCACTTTGCTGAGTGTTTTTATCATAAACGGGTGCTGTACCTTATCAAATGCTTTTTCTGCATCTATTGATATGATCATGTGGTTTTTGTCTTTGCTTTTGTTTATGTGATCTATTACATTTACTGATTTGCAAATATTGTACAATCCTCACATCCCTGGGATGAATCCCACTTGGTCATAGTGTATGATCTTTTTAATGTACTGTTGGATGTGGTTTGCCAATATTTTGTTGAGTTTAGAGTCTATGTTCATCAGCAATATTGGCCTGAAGTTTCCTTTGTTGTGTCTATCTGGTTTGGGGATTAGGATGATGTTGGCTTCATAAAAAGAGTTTGGGAGTCTTCCATCATTTTGGATTTTTCAGAATAGTCTGTGAAGGATAGGGGTTAGCTCTTCCTTAAATGCTTTGTAGAATTCTCCTGTGAAACCATCTGGTCCAGGGCTTTTGTGTATCGGGAGTTTTTTGATTACTGCTTCAATTTCATCTGCTGTTATTGGTCTGTTCAGGTTTTCTGCTTCTTCATTGAGTTTTGGAAGATTATATTTTTCTAGAAATTTTTCCATTTCACCTAGGTTTTCAAATTTCTTGGCATACAGTTCTTCATAATATTTTCTTACAATCCTTTTTATTTCTGTGGTATTGTTACAGGGTGCAGCCAAGAGGGGGGACCCCAAATGGGCATTTGAAATGGGGTCCAGAACTTAAGGTGTCCAGGAGATTTTAAGATGTCTCCAAACCCCCCCCACCCAGGGTGTGGGTTGGGGGGAAGGGACAAATGGAGCAGGACCATTGAGAGCTGTTTTGCATAGCAACAGCCTTGCAGCTAAGCTCTGGCGTGGTCATTTAACATATCTATAGCCTTTGGCTGGTCGCTTAGATATGTTAAATAGCTGTGATCATCTCTGGGCCAGGGGAATGGAAGTAACTTCCCCACCAAGACGTGACTGGGGGCAGATCCCCCAAGCTACAGCGCCTGCATGGGAGCTCGGAGAAGATTGGCTCCAGGACATGGGGCCACACCTGCCGAGACTCATGATGGCAGCCCAGTAAAGCTGGAAGGATATGAATTCTGGCAAGTGAAGCTGAGTGTGGGAGGAGTCGGAAATGAGGCTGCAGAGGAAGATTGGCCGCGGGGATTTAAAACCCAGACTTGGCGGCCATTAGGAGGGCGAACCATGCGCAGCCCTGAGGAGAGAGAACCATGCTGCTTTAGGGGAGAGAACCACGCGGCTTTGGCAGAGTGGGGACTCTCCCCTTCCCACAGCCCTGAGAGGGAGAACCACGAGGCCTGGACAGAGTGGGGACCCCCACAGCTTTAGAAGGGGAACCACCACCTGGTTTTAGCAGAGATCCCGGCGACTC